CCATCCGGATTGGGAAGGCCAGAGCAGCTTTTGCGAACCTACGTCACCTGTGGCGCAGGCCTGACATCAGCTTCTCTGTCAAGGGTCGAGTTTACAATGCTGCGGTGCGCTCCATATTACTATATGGATCAGAAACCTGGCCGCTGCGCGCCGAGGACGTCAAAATGCTTTCAGTGTTTGACCATCGATGTCTTCGGAGCATTGCCCGAATCTGGTGGGGACACCGGATCAGCAATGCTGAAGTATGTCGAACGGTATTCGGAGAAACACCTTCACCCTCGATAGATGAACTGATTACACTGCATAGGTTGCGCTGGCTTGGCCACGTGCTGCGTATGCCAGTCGACCGACTTCCTCGAAGGGCTCTTTCGCACAACCATGTGAAGGGTGGAAGAGAGCCAGAGGCGGTCAAACAATGACTTGGCAGCGAAGTGTGAAAGCCATTACCAGCAAACTCAGCTGAGCTGGTAATTGCCGTCTTCCTGGATTGGGACCCCGAGACGGGCCACATCAATGCCTGGAGACATTGTCAGATATGGCCCAGTGTTACGTTTCGATGACGCTGCGAGCAAAACAATATGATATGCGGATCGTGGCAATACTCTATCCCCAGCTATGTTGCTTGATGCAGACTCCTAGCACGGCGGATAATAAGACGAAAACCCCTCCAATCAATCATCGGTGACCGAAACTGCGGCAGCTGCAACTACTGTACGACGAGTACGCGGTTATTACAGCTGACAATGATGACGATATTTATGCCTATTACAGCTGACAATGATGACGATGATGATTTATGCCTGGGAGCAAGATGGCTCAGTGGTTAGAGTGAGAACTTACAAGCTGGAAGGTCCGTGGTTCGACCCTGACATCTACCTATCGACTTCCCGTGTCTAGGTTTGGGCAACCTGGCAGCGCGCCAGCCCTCGTGCTTCCTTCGGGTGGCTTGGCAGTTAAACACCGAATGGGTGCTACAGATTTATGCTTTTTATACCTGCCTTCCAAAGCCCGTCCTGTACTCTCCTCATCGGCGCTCATCCACCATCTTTTCCACTCAACTGGTACTTGGTTACTTACTCCTCTTCGCTAGTTCTTTGCCTAACCCTTTTCACGTTTATATCTATACCCAAAAGCCCATTTTTGTCTTGGTGCCCCAATCACCTGTAATGCCGCACTATTTTCTCACCCATCTATTACTTGCTCCTCGGCTCTCATCACGTTACTAGCCAACTTCAATTTCCATAAGAGAAACCCCATTCGCGTGTATCTGCAGTAATTGTTTTAGTGTCGCGAGCTAACAGGAATTCATTCCCTAATGCCCCTCACTCGATACTGTTAACCTAGTCGTTGCTGTCACGGATTTCGAATGCTATGAAATCGCAACCTCATTCAGATGTGACTCTATGCGGAATCATTAGTGATGTAACTGCTTGAACAGGCACATATACCTCTCCCACATTTCAGACACATCGACTTCCTTTAGGTTTCCCTGAAGTTGTGTAGTCGTGACGTGATGTTAATTAGTTTTATGTTTCGCCCGCCCTCATCCACTTGCGAAGATGATGTATTATTCTCTTAACTTTTACTACGCCCCCCACACTTCACAGTAGGTGGCTAGTCTAACATCCACCGATTTCCCTTCCCACCCTTTTCTCACCTGCGTCATTTGACTGCCAGTTATCTGACCGATGGGTCTTATGCACCCTACTGCCCATTAACAGTAAAAAAGAAAAAAAACAATGCCTTGATTATTCAACAAGACCCTTTCTGCACAGGATCTTTCAATGTTCCTACCCCATCTCAAACATAAAGTGTTCTCTGAAACCTTATACTCCCTCAAAATTGATACATACTGTGTCTCTGAAACATGCTCGTAGGACTCAAGCGTGGCTATGAATCTCAAAACCTCAATCACAAACTCAGTTCTTTCACATTTCTCCTTTCATGTGTCCAGTGATCCAGAAGCGATAACTCGTGGAATATATGTCGTTTAGATTGCACTCAGCCACAAAACTGAACGCAGTCTGCTGGATTGGATTCCAGTCATCATCATCATCAAAGAGAGCAACATCACTGTTGCCACTGATGCTTCACTACCGTACAACCATAAAGTTCGTTTATATATATATATATATATATATATATATATATATATATATATAATTGTATTAAAAGCCCTAAAGA